ATTTTTATATATAAGTATTCCAATTTTCAACTTGTCAACTTCATCAACTGGTGCTGTTTTTGTTTTTGTTTTGTTTTGTTTTTTTTTAATTGCAAAAACCAGCACTTTGTAAGCTACCAGGTGTGGGAGCCAAGGTTGCAGATTGTGTTTGCCTAATGTCATTGGACAAACATGATGCTGTTCCAGTGGACACACATGTGTGGCAGATAACTGCAAAACACTACATGCCCCAACTTGCAAGGACCAAGTCTCTTACTGCCAAGGTTTATAAGCAAATTGGTAAGTAGACTAGAGTGTGAATTGTTAGGGGTGAGGAATTCATGAATTTTTGTATGTATTGACTCTGCGGTATGGCTGTATAGGAAAATATTTGACTCCAGAAGTCTCCTGATCCAAAACATATTTAAAAGTTTCTGCAATTGCAGGTAATGATTCATGTTGAGCTTGTAAATCAGTTTATGCCACCTTTTTTCTTCAGGTGATCATTACAGGGACCTCTTTGGGAATTATGCTGGATGGGCACAATCGGTAATGGTTTTTGCATCACTATTTCTCCAAAATCATAAGCAACAATACTGAACAATTGTAGAAATCAAATCTATTCTTTAGGAAATCAGGGTACTTTTGTTAAAAATTAACACCATGCATCTATGATGCTCATGATCATGCAGTGCAAAACTCTGATATGTCACATAAAATCTTTTCACAACAATAGTTAACAATTAATTTGTAAATACCTACAACCACACTGTGTCCTTCTTTTCTCTGTTGCAGGTTCTTTTTGTAGCTGATTTAAAGAGATTTCAAGATACTCAGACTACCAGTTTAACAAATTTAAACTCAAAATCTGCCAAGGTAAGGAATACTCAATTTGCTCTACATAATGAATAGAGAATTTAGAAAAGACAACGGTTGATTTTCCTGTATTAATTTAATTGAGTGAATCTGTGTTGGTGAAAGCGTCGTTATGTTTGATAGAAACTTGAAATTCAAGTGTAAAGACTAAAGTATCTTATTTTTAATATTTGCCTTAGAGGTCTATGGAATCCGACATGCCGTCAACAAGCAGCTCCAAGCGTCCCGCCAAAAAGAAAAAGAAGAACCGGATATAGGCTAAAAACAAAGATTTATTTTCCACTCGTCACTCTCTTTCTGAGATAGTACTGAAATTTAGTCCACGCTAATCACGTTAAGGTTCTCAAGTTCTCCTACAACTGATAGAAACCGAAATAAGTAAAAATTTAGTTGGATATCACTACGTAAGAGATTATGAACTGTTCATAATCTCTTGCTACTTAGCCATTTAAAGATGGTGGCTTCATTTGTCTAGATATTTTGAAAATTAGCCATTTTATCACCTTTTGGAAATAGAATGCAACGTACACCATAAAAGATGTTGAACTACGTTCGTCACCCAATGAGCGGAGTCTTGAGACTGGAGAGCATTCATTTAACTAGGTTTCTTCACTTTTGTGCCGTAGAATATCGCCTTTATTGTATGACTTATTGGACGCCACGCTCCAATAAAAGCTGCATACTCTTCCCTCTTTAAAAAAGTCTATGTATTTCTTTTTAAAAAAAAATTATTTCTGCATAAAGCTTGCCTTCCCAGAAAAAAACTCAGAGGGGCCACTATTGAACCCCATCATAAGTGCGTTCTCAGAGGGATATAAGCATCTGGTGATTCCCTAGTATTGCATTGTGCATCCTGTTCCGCAAACGCACCCAATCACGCATGTGCTTTTTCAGGGAAAGGAACGATCGGATTTCTTTTGAACAAGGACTGTCTTATCTTTTTTCCCTGTAAACCTTTTCCAAAAGAAAAATGTTAGCGCGAAGAAAGCCTTGAAGTGAAAGCATTCGTAGTCATAACCGTTCAACACAATTGTGTTATCAAGATCACGCACGCACCACTCGTCGTGACCTGTGACTCTACTGGGGAATTACAAAGGCTTTTTTCGCCTTGGCAAATAAGACACACCGTTCTAAATCTTTCAGAGTCAGTTCAAGGATTTCTGTTCTTGCTTAAGTTTGCGTGAACCGATGCAGTTGATACACCCTTCCAGAATGTGAGCTATTCGTGTAATGCATATGTTCCTAAACGGGTTGAGATTATTTCACATTTCAAATCACAGTCATGCATGCGATGAAGTATGGGGTTGAGTTTAAAGAAAACAAGTCTACTTGGACCACAGTCTATGGATGTTTTTTCTTAACTACATTTGAATTACTCTGTTGACAATCAGGTAAAATAACACTGTACGTATTCTTGTTATGGGAAGGGAAAGTAAGCCACTATTAGGCAGGTGATTCAAACAGGAACAAGAATAACTTGCTAGGAAAGTTGCCTAATTCAGGAGAATAAAATTCAATTCTTGACCATTTAGGTCTGTTAATTATAGTTTTACAGCAAAACCAGATTATCATCAGCATTCATTGTTATTTTTCACTACAGTCGGTTACTCTATTTATACAACAAAGATAAAAACTTCTTTTATAAGGTTATTCAGTATTAAAAGTATGGCTCAATAAGCGTTCTGCACAGCTGTTAACATGCCATGATTAAAGCACTTATCATTCATTGGTCAGACCAGCCCATAATTGTCTGTCCTGAAAGATTTGCAATGGGCTACTTACAACTAAACAAAAGTTCTGCGACGTACATCTCATTAAATTTTAAAGATGGATCGTCAACACGTAATCAGGATACGTTTATAATGATTATAAACTTATCCTGATTAGGCGTTCACCCTCATTTAAAATAAATGACAAATACATCACAGAGCTTTTGTTTAGCTGCAACTAGTTTGTCTTTGATTACTGCAGTACGTAAAAATTTCCAAACTTAAACGTTGATAACTTAAAAGTTTTTGCAAAGGGGACCCAACATCTTCTTTTTGAAGGTAAGAACATGTTTCAGTTATACCAAGCGGATTCACTTACTACGGTGTCAAACAAACAACGATATTTAGAATACTGATCATCGTGTTCTAAGAATTCTGAAAACATTAGCTGATTACAGCGGAACATGTGTTGCTTACTCAAGTAACACCTGTTCATGTCTCTGACCTACCTCTTCTAAATAATTGCAATGATCGTCTAAAAATGCGACCTGTTTGTGGAAAGTCTGAAGTATGACCTATCCATACAGCAACCAAGACATATTTATCATTAAAACAAACTCAATCCAAACCAACGCAGGCCACGGTGAAAGTCAGAATATTGTTCCATTTTTCTGTTTTGAATTTAGCGCAAATTTTATTCATATTTCTTTTTCATGACTACCATTAAATGTATTTAGCGTTAGCGTTAGCCCACAAGGTTTCCTTTCGCTTTCGTTTCATGAGGGTGTGCAAAGTTTTCAAAGTAATCTGTGTTTTCAAGTGCATTTTCAGAGTTATTAATTGCAGAGGAACCAAAACAAAAATGAATCTGGTTATGTCAGTAGCAAATCGTACAAATGCTTTAAGTAGTGCCTACTAGACACAGTCCAACTGATGATCTGATTGACTGGTACGCAAGGGATTCCTTTTCTACGTGACAGAAACAGATAATTGTAAAACACGTCCGTGTTCGTCAGGAATATGTGGGAAATGCCAACTAGCGAAACACCGAACGCAATTAATTAAAAACTCAGTGAAAGACCACTTCAGCCGAACACTTCCGAAAGTTGAAAACAATTTTCTCGCGGCTGGTCTCGAGCCAGTAAGTTTGAAAAGGACAGACTATCATGCAAGGGAGACTCTACTGCACAAACAGAACGAAGTGGAATAAATGCCAGGCTGGCTGTTTAATCAATATCTATCATGTTTTGGATATATCAGCTGATATTTTCCTCGGAACCCTGACCTTCGGTGTTGGGGTATTTTGATAATTATCTTAGCGCTAAAGAACAGTTCCATGACATCCATAACACACTAAAAGCCTAAAACGTTCTAAATTGTTCATTGGTCTAGACATAGCAGTCAGTATATGTGCATATGCCCTTGTATACACCAGTGAAGCCCATATAATTTCACGCAAGAAACAATGAAATAAAATACTCGGAAAGTTGCCCACAGGCCCCCATGAAAGCTTCCACTAAACCAACCCCCCCTCAACTACCACCACACATACCCCTGCGGCGGATAGTGTTTATGTTTACTGGTTCTGGTCACAGACATTATTATAACCAATTAGGAACTTAAATGTAGCCTTTAAAATTGTCCCCATTTTATCAGTAGAGTCATGGAGTGTGGTAGGAACGATAATGGCACACACAACAGAAGTGAACTAAACTCGGATGATGATATTAACGGACTGCACAACGAAATCACTACCAAAGATGTTGTGCTAAGGCGACCCTTGCACACATACCCGGCAACTTCAAGTGTTCGTAAGACAGCGTATAAGCACGGTCGCAGCGCGCACGTCCCGCGTCCAGGAGGCTTTAGAGTCAGACATGGATTCCTGGTAAGCCAGACAAGATCATAATTTCAGAAAACTATGTCGTCGTGAAAAACATTTCAAAACTATCTATTCTTAAAAATGGACACATGAGCCTATAAACTATCCTACACCAGCTGTTTGTCACGGAAAACAGTGGACTGCTCTGTGATTATTTGGACAGAGCGATCCGATTCTTTTCATCTTTTCAAAGACTCATGCTTTGCCTTTTTTCAGAAGCGTTGCTCTCGGAAAAAAGCTTTAGCTCTCCATGAAGGATCTGTAATGTGATGTTTTCATTAGAATCTTTTGTAAAACATCGACCACATAATGAGTTCCCCCCCATCCCAAAGATAGGTCCGCAATGGGCACACGCGTGAACGCAAAATTACATGCATGGAGTAAATCCCACATTATTTCGCAGGTTTCATTTTCTAGTTGGATTACATTAGCCGTTTTCTAGTTGGGAGGAGTGGATGTCAGACATCCGTGTAAGATGTTAATCTCTTGCATTTGTTATATTACCACTCTTTATTCATTAGAAGACATTTCTTCTGGAGAATTAAAATTTAGGGCCATGTATTGTTTGATCGCGTAGTCTGAATAGTCCCAAGAAGAGTTGTTTTCGGTAACGGGAACAATCTTATTGGAAGTAATCATGAGAGGCGACTTTGATAATTACTTCTGCTGATGAGGGTCATCAGACTAAACGATCAAATGTTACCACTGACAAACAAATATTCGAGATGCTGGCAAGGTGTGGGTATTCCCACACAAGAATAATTATCTCTTACATGTCCGGTATGCCCATGTTTTTCTTTTGTTGTGGTAATGTCTTTGACTGGTACAAACTAAAAACTGACAGTCTTTCTGTACTTGAAGATCGTCCAAAGTTAATGGGTGCTAATCATAAACTGTGCGTATTACTTGCGAGGAATTGTACAATGGATACATGGTTGTGTTTAAACCTGTCAAACATCTATTTGGTCAAGCTCTAATAATTTCCACTGCTTTGAGGGAGGCGGCTGCCAGGGGAGGGGTAGTTTGGGCCCAATTGCCACTCCTCCGGAAGGTTTCCATGGAAACAGCAGATCGCTCATGAACGTACAAAAGACAAACTCATTCCGACGGCCAGCTGGCCAGTGAATAAGTTTTTCAACCAATTTCTGTTTCACGACAAATATCCAAAGTTTAAAAAGGATGGCAAAATCCAAAGGAAAGGTTGAGCTTCAGGTTAGTGTAGTGAGAATTGATAGTAAGTCAAATACATGAAGAGTTTTACGAACACTAACGGCAAAGTTTGTTCAATTATTTTCTAAACTGAAGTCTTTCATCATGCTTCACTTGAGCTTATACTGCAATGAAAGACGTGAAATTTGAGCATATTTTGGAAGTTTTTTACCGGTTTTCTGAAAAACTTAGTCCACTTAACAAGGTGAATATAATATACTCTTGTCAGTGTATCAATATTGGGACTATCACTTTTTTAATACAAGATCAGAGCACTGAGGTGAGAAGTGAAATATAAACATCATAAAAAATCTCAACATGTCCACATGTCACCACTAAGGGAACAGCGCAAACAAAATATTCATCCCTCTATTTGCAGTCAACAGTTTGTCGTCTCCATTTTGAGCTCTTTGGCTTAGGCCAATTCATTCAATTTGCAGTCGTTAGAGCTCAGTATCGATACTTGAGAAAACTTCAACACGTAATCAGAACATTGATCTCATTATATAAAGTGTAACCTTAACAAATTTATCTTTCTATTCAGTATAGTTGTAGAATGTCATTCCTATCTCGTCAAGGAAACCAGGAAAATTAAGTTTTAGATCGTTAAGAAAATATCAAGCCCTGCATTTAAGCAACAATCGAGTTTGCAAACACTGATTTACCAGTTCCAAATTCAAATTCAAAGTTAACTCAACTGCGTTTGAAATATTTATAACCTATTTTTCCTGCCGTGAAGTGATAAATAGTATTATAAACATTAACCATATGGGGTTAGATATGAATAAAATTAGTAATGTATCTTAGAGACCATTTTGTTTGAATTCAATATGGCGTACATTAAGAAGAATCCGGACGCTCTTAAACCTTTACAGGCAAGGCTTTAGACTCTTAATGATGTAAATTGTGCCTAACATGTCGTATTTGTTCGCGGTAGCGTCGCTAGAGAAACTGAACCACTATTGTTGTCCCTATTTTATTCGTCGCTTCTTTGCATCAAATCATAACAACCTCGAGCGCCAAGCTGATTCGTTGCTGTCTACGAGTTGTTATTTCGTTCTGTTGATTGCTCCCGGTTTTTTCTATGATTTAGTTCCACTGTGTGACTCTGAACTCAGCACTCTAAAATTATCATTGCAATACTAACATTTTCTCTTGGGAATAGCTAAAGTTCTGGCTATCATTAAAAAAAATACTTCATGTAAACAGATCAAAGGCCCGAAGACTCTTAGCTTATAATGGCTTACTTTAACAGCAAAGACGTTTGAATTGCGCTTTTGACATACCTCGCTGTTTCCTTGCTTTTATATCTTTGCGTTTTTTAATTTAAGCGAAAAGAAAACATCTTTTGTTTCTCTCAGAGATCATGATCATATGTTTAACAGAGCTAAGCTTTTAATTAACTTGGATAGCTGGATGTTTTTGAGGCAATTACCTGCTCCCTACCCCCTTACATCGGCTGTGTGATTTTTTTTACAAAAAAGAATGTTTCAGCTGAACTCTTGAGGTCTGACAGTGGCACAAGGCTGCTCATGATGTAAACACTGCACAAGTATTAGCCTTGATGTTGCAATTCCAGACTAAATTCCTGCCCATGAACTGAGGCCAAAATACAGTTTTATAATCTGTTAATATTTTAGTCAAAACCATGACAAAGTTCCTGAACATGATTGGTTATCACCAGCCCCAATTTGAGCACTAATAGAACACTGTGCACTTCATGCTTGTAATTGGATAGTGTAATAGGACAGTTAAAGGGACAGTTAACATGTCATGCCTGTGTAGGTGGACAGAACGCATCATGTGGGCACACTGTTGTCTCACATTTTGCCAAGTTAACTGTTTTTTTTTATGGAAACCTCTAATGGATGTCTAGTTTCTCTCTCAAATGTTGTCATAGTTTTTATTAATTGGTAACAGGACTTTGTGCTGTCCAATTCTGTCTGTAATCATACTTATCAGACTCCCGCTTCACTGTCTTCCGATTTTTTTCATCCATTGTATGATTACAGACCGATATGGACTCCACTCAGACCTATTACCATTATAAATATATCACACATGTATGTGTATGTAGATATTTGTAGGGGATTGTGTGATCAGTACAGTGCAGCTGGTTAATGGTCTTAAGTTTACAACCAAGAATTTAAACCTTCATAACTGTGGTTCTGGCTGAGAGATTTCAGAAATCAGTTGGCTAAATAACAAGTGCTAGCTAAACAGTGGGTCATTGGGTACAGCTAAGGTCTCACTACGTTTAAGTGTATTATATATCGATTTCACAAAGAAAGTCAAGTCTTGCAAGAATAATAGCACACCTTTTTAGCCACTATAGAATTATTAATTATTTATAATTTGAGGATCAACAGAAAATTAAGTCTCACAAACTAAGTACTCCATAATTACCATATATATTGTTTATACAATTTTGCATTCAAACTACAGCCATCTTGATAATAATTTTGAACACAGCTGTAGTAAATTTTAATGAGCTACCAAGAGAGATTACATTAAATGGAGTTTGTCTTTCTTACTTAAAGGTTGAAATTAAAACCCAGGAGCAATGGGATGAACTTTTATCAAAGGAAGGCTTGATAGGTACAGTGTAACTTGGTGCAAATATTTCATGATCTAAATTTGTCCTTGGTTTTGGTCTCTTTGAACCAGTTTGATATGAATTAAATGTGTCTTGGACTGTCACATAGTGAACAACAAAGAAAATGAATGAATAACTGAAATCAACAAATATCATGAAACCAGTGTAAACTGTAAAATTAAAGGAAGGGAAATTTTGCATATCAATTTGCCAAATAGTTTTAATGTTAAAAGGCCGTAAAAAATGTAAAGCTTATCAAAATGATTTGTTGGATGTATTCATATTTTATATAATTTTCACAGTGGTAGATTCCTATTCAGCTTGGTGTGGTCCATGTAAAGCTATTGTTAGTTCCTTCAAGAGACTTAAGAATGAACTGGGAGATGACCTGCTTGTGTTTGCAACTGTAAGTTTTCAATATTATGACTATTATCATTTTTGCTATTATCATCATTTTCTTATCATGTAATTGTTAGTTTTATCACTTATTATTATTATTTTTATTAGGAATGTTGACACCTGAAAAATCTGGAATATGCTGAAAAAAGCTGGAAATTTATGCATTATCTTAATCACCAATTCTTTAAGGAGCATGAAAGAATTTTCTAGAAAATTCTAGAAATCCAAATTTTATTATAAGCTGGAAAAAGCCTGATTTTATCCTAGTTGGTGATTTCTGGAATAAGCTGGGAAATTCTGGCAGATTGTACCCTAATTAGCATGTTTCATTAACATTCTTGAATATTCTAGAATTTTCTAGAAAAGAAAACTGGTAAATTCTACAAATTTCTGGAAGTATTTTCTGTCATATTTCTAGAAATTTTCCAGAAATAACCAGAATATTCCAGTTTTATTTTGCAAGGGTAATCTTTTGAACACAGGTTGACTGCCTCATCCATCATGTTTCTCAAAGAGCATGTTGAGTAAAATTTTGCTCTTAGTTTCTTCTTTCCTCATGGTGTGTTTTAAGATTGAGGCACAGTAATGCTAAAATGAAAGTTACAGAAGTTACATCTTCGTCCTTTCTGTGCATCTATAAAACAGTATACAAATTTAAAACAACGATGCAAAAACAACATGGTAGAGATCTGGATGATTGAAAATAAAATTATTTGCACCGCATGGGCATATCTAACAGGAAGGTTAACCTTTAATGTTATTCAATATACTGTTGGGACAAACCTACTTTAGTCTTTCTCACACTCATTGTTGGTGGGTTAAAAGGTGTGAAGCTTAAATGGAATGTAAAGGGATTGAGTGTGATGGGGAGGTTGATTTCCAAACCAAAAAACCCTTTTTTAGTTGGAGAGTGCCTTTTTATTATTAAACAATGCAGGAAATCAATAATCTTAGGATGTTAAGGATGTTAGGTGGTGTAAGCAAAATAAACTTGAAATTGTGTTTTTATATCATGATTATAACTATATTTAATATATCAATTTAATATGTAAACTTTTTGTTATCTTTTTATATCCTAGCTAATGATATAATTTATGGTGATTTTTTGTTATTGACTACTTTTGTGTTACTGTAATAATTGCTTTTAAAAGGCTGAAACAGATTCCATCAATTCTTTGGAAGCTTACAAAATGAAAAGTCAACCAACATTCCTGTTCTATGCTGTAAGTAAAGTAATTGAACTATGTAATTTCCAACCACTACACATTGCACATTAACTGAATTTTTGGGAGGATTTTTTTACTTTGTTCAAAAGTACTGCTATTTTTGTCTGTATCCAAATCATGAATAGTAGAACATTGCTCTGAAGATTTTTTTCTCAGTTATGAAATAAAATGTTTCTTGAAACTTATGAATCTTAATTGTAGGATTTACATTTTTTTGGTCAGTTTTTTTTGGAGTATTTTACAAGCTAAACAACTCTCTATTTATTATACTCAGAGAAGATACACTTAATTTCACACAATGTTTTTATTCTTCTTGAGGGTGGTATTACTGATCAATATATACATGCATGTATTATGTTCAAAGCAAAGTAGTACAGCACAGGTGGGAAATCTTTGTTCTTGGTAATTTAACATAAGGATAGTGAACTTTAGTGGACTGTAAATGTTCACAGACCATATGGTATCAAATTTGTTGTCTTTTAGGGTGGCCTTCTGGTAAATGTTGTTAGAGGATGTAATTGCCCTCTCTTGATTAAGACGATTCGAGGTGAACTTGAACAAGAACACAAAGTTATTGATGGAAAGAGTGAAAGAGTTCCAGTAAGTATTAGATGTTTCTCACAAAGTTAGGAATGGTCAGCTATCAAATGGCACTAAGATGCCTTTTCCCAAGTTTCCACAGTCATTTCAAAATTTGTTTCTTTCATGATATACATGTACATGTATTAAGTACATGTAACTGCAGCTGCTGTTACATGTAACATGTAACAGCATGTAACATGTAACTACAGCTGCTGCATCATGCATTGACACCATTTCTTGGTGCAGTCAACTCCTAGTCAGCACACTATAATTTTGATCATGAACCTCTGGCTAAAAATGGATATCTCAATCCAAAATCAATTTCTCCTGGATTTTCATTAGGTATGCATTAACTGTATTTTCATCCTGTTATGTTTTACATGAAATCTTACAAACTAATACCTGTTACTAACTCAAAGTAACTTAAATTCCCTTCTTAACTTGTTCTTCATAATCTTAATCTTAACTTGAACTATGTTCATTAAAGTAGGTATTATGTAATGTAAAACAAACAGATAAATTTAAATGAGATGGTAAGTTGTAGAAATTGAATTCAGTGATCTAGAGTAATCCTGAAAAGGATTGTTGTGAGTACAATTGTAGCGCTGACCAATATTTTGATAACCTCAGCCAAAGTCATCAACCAAGTCACCTCAGTCTAAAAATGTCAAACATCATTCAGTACTAACAACAGTTTTTACCACTAGGATTGCTCTCACCTTGATGATCAATTACACAATGAAATGCTACTCCAAGGTTTTTTCAAACCATTAATTGTTTTATGTTAAAGTTTGTTGATCAAGAAGCCTTCAAAGAAACAGTTTTTGAGGAGAAAAAAGATGAAGAAAAGGAGATTGAGGATGAGGAAGAGGAAATAGGTGAGCTTCTGTAAGGATGAGATTGTTGGGATTTGGCATTGAATAGACAATTTCAAAGTTTCAGATTGCAAACTATGTTGTTATTCAAATTTTATTTACACTTGAAATAGGCTGGAGTGCACAATAATGGGCTTTTTTTCCATTAAATTAAAGCAAGGACTCGGAAATATGTGTAAATGTGTATTCATGGTAGTTTTACTCTCACAGCTTTAATCAAATGAATACAATATCAACAGACTCCAACCTGTTTTATTCAGGAAAGAGGAGAGAATAATTATTATGATCTTTTCCATTTTTAAGAACAGAGCAGTTGACCAATAAATTTGATTACTACTGGGCATATTAGTCACTGATTTAAGAGAAGTAGGACAATCCAAAATATCAAGTACTGTGCATTTGCAGCACACCTGCCAGGATCATTGCTTGGTTTGATTTTCATCCACAGCTCAAATTAAACTTATTTCATGTAGAATTGCGACCACATTTCTCTACGGGATTGAAGAACAATGCAAAATTTTTGTGGTTTCCAATGTGTGTCTTTGTAATAAATATATTTACTTACACTTAATTTCATCTACATGGAAACTAATTAAAAACTGTTTGACTTGTTAAAGCTGAGAGGATGACTAGAAGTATGAGCCTAAAGGTAGAGAAGACAGTACTAATGGAGAAAAAAGGTAGCCAGTGAGATAGTGTAACTAATAAGATAGTTTGTTTTAAAAGGACCAGGAAAACAGTCTTATATGTACACTGGTAACCTGTTATTTCTTATTGTAGCTTAAATCAGGTTGCTGATAATCAGTCAGGTTTGTTAGTGTAGTTTTAGTTTTGAGAGAATGTTTCTGATGGAGTGCACTATAAAATAAATTTAAACTTTCTTGGCATAAAGATTGATACAAAAATGTAATGCATGCAGTATATTTCAAAATAGCTACTTGACTGCCAATTACGCTTTACAACAATTGAAATTACAGGTGTTTCAGAGGGTCTGCACTCACTCTAACTCTTTTCACTTTGTTTATTCCTGTAGTGGAAATTCCCAAACAAGTTACTTTTGCCATCATTAAACCTGATGCTGTTAAAGCTGGACTTGTTGATGAGATTATTCAGAAGGTAATTATTACTATGTTTTGCTAGTAAATATTTTTTTGTGTGTGATGTAAATGCTAATACTAAGTATTTTCCCTTGGCCTCTCTGAACTACTACCCCTTTATAGTCTGTTCTCTGACCAACTGATGACCCCATCTTTGTCACTTATGGTAATACAGTTAACTGTACAACTTGCATGAATTTGAATTGACAGGTTGAAGAGTCTGGTATGGAGGTTCTCAAGAAAGAAGAAAAAACTTTGTCAAAGGATGAGGCTGCAGAATTTTATAAGCAACATGAAGGATCTGAACACTTTGATCAACTGGTTGAATTTATGACTAGGTATTGTGAACACAAAAGCTCAGTTCAGATATTTTTTAAGTTCAACAGCAGCAGTCAAAGGTTTAAAATGAAGTTGATCTTTTTTTTTTCTTAACAAGGCAGAAATTTAGTGTATTCAGTGGCACACAAAACATCTAGACAGGTTGAGAGGGATTCAATTTTTCCTCAACTCTCAAATCACTTTTAATTTTTGCTATTAGCACCCGGCCTGTCTGTTTGTGAGGAATTAACACCCCCATAATTTTTCATATGTTTTCCTTTAATTGTTTTTTAGTGGCCCATGTATGACTCTATTGTTAAGCAAAGGTGGTGACTCTGATATTGGTGATGGTACAATTGAATATTTCCGTGATCTTATCGGTCCAAAAGATGTGAACATTGCTAAGGAGGAGGCACCAACAAGGTAACATTATTTATAAAGGGTAGCAAAAGGGGGGGGGGGGGGGGGGGGGGGGAAGGAGGGTCCTGATCCTGTTTTTCAAAATCTTGCTTTTGTATATCCAGGGTTTTAAAGATTGAAATATTGACGTTTTCATGAAATGCAAGAAAAATTCATGGCTCACATATGTTTCAGGAGGAGAATCACACCTCAAGCTGGTTCATAAATTCATGAGTTATGCACACCTTTCTGTAAATTCTAGCATCACATATTAGTTTTGGCCTTAATCACATGTCATGTATAAACCCTATGCCACCTTTACTACATTAATTAATATTTTTATGTACTACTTAATTTGTGTCAGTGACAATAATTGTCACTGACAATGGATAGCCACCACTCTACTGATAAAATAATAATTAGCAATTCAGAGTCAAAAAACCTTTAATTTATTTCAATGATTGGCCACTTGCAAGCTGTGAGAGCAATATGACATGCAATCAACCATTTGCATTCATTTGGTAACCTAAATTAAATATGGGTTATGAAGCCCTCCTGAGGTACTTGCAAAATGATACAAAGTTTTTGTTGGTCATGAAATATGTAACATCTAGCTTGACATTCAGTTAATTCTTTCTACAGCCTGCGAGCTCTCTATGGTACAGATACTGTGATGAATGCAGTACATGGGTGTGATTCTGCTGAAAGTGCAGCCAGGTGAGCTTATTTACCCACACAACACACAACTCTACAGGTGTATTCATTTTGATATTAATTAACATCTAGTTGCTTAATTATTAAAAAATAAGTCAATATTTTCAGTTATCAGCAGTGTGAATCAAGCACTAACAGAACAGGATCAGACATGATATGAAAAATGCTAGTTTATATCAGTTGATGTACAGTTTATTCAAAAACCTCACTCAAAAATGCATTGACTATTGGTATTTGTTAATACATATAATCAATAGAATAGTGGTGTCATGTAAAACAGAACAATAAAGCAAAATTACTGTATCCTTTTATCTAACAGTTGGACCTCTAGGTCATGACAAACCTGGAGAATAGTATATGAAATTTTGACATAAGTAACATGTAGCTGGGTGGATATCAGTTGTTTTTTTCAAAACAAACCTATGTCAGGGCTACCAGGTACATTAACTCAAATTTTCCTTCATCTGATAATAATTAGAGTGACAGGACTTTTGTTGTTACTGGGAGCAGATCAAAGTTTTCTATTATATTTGAAAAGTCAAAGTTTACTAAACACATGCTACAGAAAATTATGTTTCATTGAAATTTCATCTAGCTCCTTAATTTCAGGGAGCTTGCATTTTTCTATCCCGATTTTGTGGCTCCTACTGTTACACAAAAGAGAAAGAAGAAGAGGTTACAAAGGACTCTTGCTCTTATCAGGCCTGATGCTCTTCGCACCCGTAGAGGTAAAGTATCAAGAACTTAATTACCATGGTTTCAAATTGGTGTCAGCTTTTAATCTCTTTCTTTTGTCAATTTCTCAAGTTAAAGATATACTTAAAATTCACTTCTGCATTCAAAGAAATTAAGTTTAACTCCATACAATGAATCTTTTCCTCCCCAATTTTCTTTGTGTAAAATTTTACCATGAATGTTAGCATAGTATTGCTCATATAGAAATCTGGCGGCCCATTTGTGACCTGATAAACCTCATGCCCTCCTCCTGACTCAAATAATGAAGTCAATAAGAGCATCAGCTGTGAACTCCATATTGTGATCTTTGCCATTTCATGCATATGCTGCCATGCTTCTGAGTTGTGTTCAAAGTAAAGGTTACTCCAGAATCTCAAGACATTATTAAGTTTTAAATTAGCATTGCAGCAATGGCAACAAGAAAAGGTTTCATGATGGTTTCTGGAGCTCTTGTGGAGCAAATTTTTTTTTCTGTATGCCCTACAGTAAGATGTTACTCACTTTCTATTAAGTTTATCAACAAAGTAGAAAAAGAGACCAAACCCAATTCATCATGTTCGTTTGTCCATAGCTTAATTACCAGAAGCTACTGGTTTGTTAAGATTATTAATGGCTAGCCTAATTATTCTTAGTTGAGAAGAGTGGTTTGAAGACCAATTGAAGGTTAGATGAATTTTTTAATGTGCTGTTGAAAAGTAAAGAAATGATGAATTTATTTCAGATTCCATCATTAGAAAGATTGAAGAGTCAGGATTTACTATTGCCATGTCAAAGGAAATGGCACTGTCAAGAGATCAAGCAGAAGCCTTTTATGCAGACCATAAAGATTCTGAATTCTTTGAGTCTCTTGTTGATAACATGACCAGGTGTGTTACTCTTAGTAAAAGCCTTAATCATAAATGCATTAAGCAAAGTAAGTAAGTAAATTTATTTCAACTTGGGTTAATGAGGCTGATCAGGCCCCTAGCAGTATATGCTAATATGCTAAGAAAAGTAAAATAAACTGATGAATAATTGGAAAATGACTAATAACTAACTTTCTAACTACTTTAAGTTAGAAAACAATCTTAACTATTAAAAACTATAACAGTGAGAAGATCTTAGTAGACTGTGCTTTGCAGATGTAGCTCTCTCACAGCATTCCTAAATTCCTTAAGAATTGTCAATGAGCGTAGTTCATCCGGTAAGGAATTCCACACTGGCACTAATAAAAGATGTAGATTTTAAGCTGAAGGTTGTAGTATTTTTATGTGGGATGACAAGCTTGTTGGTGCCTCTTATTATAAGTTTTTCACATTATTTCGTACAACAAACAAGTCACATATATTCCAGTAACATGCCATTTACAGCTGTAAAAATCATTATAGCAATGTCCTGTAGTCAACAATTGGACAAAGTCAAACCATAGTCATCATTACCATAAAGAGGTACCCGTTTGTTGTAGACACACCTTGGAGCTCTCACATTAAGCCTTTCAGGTTCTTATTATCAGATTCACTATATTTGAGCCAAGTAGCAGAACAGTAATTGAAGTAAGACATTATGTACAAGTTGCAGGGGCACATTTTCAAGAAAATTGATAGCATGTTCTTTAACCTGCTCAAAACATCCAACTGCTTTCCAATTTTCTGAGTAATCATGGCAATGTGTTTGCTAAAATTTAGCAAGTTATTAATAGTTACTGTTACACCTAAAAGATCTAAATAGTCCACAATTGGAACCTGCACATCATTAATACTTAAGGAAAGATCACAAGGATAGTATTTTGGAAGAATAATACATTTACATTTCTTGGGATTGAGCACTAGCTTATTATCATCAACAGCAAGATCACCATTGATTGCAGACCACAAGATCACAATCGCTAAAAAAAATTTGGTTATCATCTGCATACTTGAAGAAGGAGGGTTCAGAACTCATCTTGCCAGTAAATTATTTCAGGAGAACACAAAGCCTGCCATTACATTTCTACAGATCTGCTATGATCTTTGACATTGTTTTAAAGGCTTATTTAGGAAGTCTGTATGAGCACTTTGGGCAAGCTTAACGTTTGGTTTCTACAGCAGATGTTTTCTGTGACATAGCAATTAAAACATTGCTATGTGCCTTTATAGCTTTTCATAACCTTCTCATGTCATTCATATATACATGTGCTTTGTATCTGATTTAACTATCAGTGTGCTTAATATAAGGTGTGTTTTATCAATCATGAACTGCATTAAGTCCAATTTCTCTCTGGAAGTAGGAAAAGTTTCTTACAGTCATTTCTTCAATTCTTGGTATTCTGAATAAAGAGTGTTAAAATAATTATTGAACTTAGAGGGAAGCAAAATATTTTTCTGATTTGTGGAGCTCTAAGGATTAAATGCTTATAATTATGTATCAGTTTGTAAAAAAGTAAGGCCTGTTAAGTTATTAAATATGAACACCAGATTTTTTTCTTTTGAAGTAAGCAGTTCTTACCATTTTTTCTTAAAATTTGAATTCTGAACATGATCATAATTGTTTAGTATACTGACCAAAAACATTGATAAGAACTGTCTCTTTTTAGTAAATTTTTTTTTATTAATTATTGTTTTTTGCCATCTGGTTTGCAGTGGTCCAATGATGGCCTTATGCCTTGCAAGGGAGGATGCTGTGGAAGGCTGGAGAGAAATGTTGGGACCAAAAGAGATATCTGTAGCTGCTGAAAATGCTCCAGACAGGTTTGTGTACAACATGACTCTACATTGGTAACAGCTTATTGTCGAATCAAATCATGAAGTTATGGCTGGTAAGGATAATATATTTTAATTATTAATTATAAATAGAAACATTCAAGTATGTAGCTTATGAAACAAAATTGGAATGTAATTACTTCTAGCACCTTTGTGTAGGGCTAAGAAGATAAAATGAAACTTAGCTGTACATGTACCTGTTTGTTTTTTGTTGTACATGTGCAGTACCTGCTTTTCCTAATTACCAAAATTTTGTTTAAAAGTTGTTGCATGTCATATTTGGGTTGGATCTTGGTGCAAGTAACCATAACCACTTTTACGTAATGTTTGTTAATATTGTATTGTTTTTTACTTCTTGTAACCAGTTGTTACACGTGAGAGTTAAAAATTGATTTAAATTTTCTCTATGCATGTATGTCTTCATTTAGTTGGATGTTAACTGAAGTTAATGTTAAATGGAATTTTACAGCTTAAGACATCAGTTCCATGTAGAGGACAGTCCTGTCAACCCTTTGCATGGCTCTGACTCTCTGGAGGCTGCTGAGAAAGAAATCCAACAACTCTTCCCTGTTCAATCCACTGTGGCAGTCATTAAACCTGAACTGGAACCTGACAAGCGAGGTATGTCTAGTTAACAATGCAAATGAGTAACGAGTAAAAGTCACTGTTAGAGTCAAGTGAAGATTTGGTAATCAGTCAAATGTGTTAGTTTAGCTTTTGAAACTGACTCATCTGTATTACAACAAAACACATACTACATTTCCCTCTAATAACCAGTCTTATCTCATCTCTCGAAACTTCGCACTGGACTTATGAGAAGAGTTAACTTTCCCTTAAAAGTTCGCAACTTATCAATGTCCGCAGTGAAATACCATTCAAAATTTTGGTGCCTTGAAAGGTTGCAGAAATTTCACAGAAATTTTGTTGGAGCTAAATTTCCTGGAAAAGCCAGGAAATTCATCAAAATTTGTTTGCATTTCTTTGATTTGCACAATACTGTACACTCTCAATTGATGTTATCAAGATGGATGTTACTTGAAATTAGTCAGTTTCCTTTTGTAATCTGTTTGGTAGTCAGTTAGTGTACCATTACTTGGTTAAATCTGATGAGAAGAGTAAGTTTTTAGGAATTAGTAAACCAGTTTAAAGCAATTTGGTGTGGAAGGAATTAATGATCTATGGTTTTGTTTGAATGTCAAGTTTACTTCCCATCATGGTTTTGGGATTGTGCTGTTCACGTTGATTGCCATTGTACATATGTAATATGATGGATAGATCTCTAAATTCCAGGAGCAGCTGCACACACATGTTGGGTAGAGAGGGTTGAAAAAATTTTTTTATTCCCAAAGTCTGTTTTTCATTACCAGTTGTTGCAGCTCCTCAACATGAATTAAAATACAATTATTTTCATTACATAGAGGGGATCATCCAGCACATCAAAGAAGCAGGCTTCAAGATTCAGATTCAAAAAGAGGTGACTTTAACTAAGGATTTAGCATCACAGTTCTATCATGAGCATGAAGGAAAAGAATTCTTTGATGGTCTTACAGATCATATGGCCAGGTATGTGTTGTTGTATATAGGAAATTAAGCTGTAATCAATATTTTACTGACCGGTACTTCTCAACTCTATGAGGGCCTTTCTACCATCATGTGAATTAACTTTTTTGTCTTAGTATGTGTTCTTACCCCAAAGTGATTGATATTTTCATGTTAACATGCAGGAATAGATTTGTTTCTAACAAAGATAAATAAAAGAAAAAGTTTCAAACTAAAAGTTTTGTAATTAATAACTTGAATGAAAAATAAGTAAAGTGGGAAATTTGGGAAGGGAATTATGAAGCAGAAGTGATATAGGAACACTATTGGCTGTTATGTTGTATGTATGGAGTAGGTCCTACATTAAAGGTTGCTTAATCGATATTCTTGTCTTTCCTCAGAATTTCCCTTTTCAAATGAAAACTACCTGAGGCTCAATCTATACAACTTTGTTTTTCCCATTTCTTAGTAATAAGGCAACAGTATAATTTATTTCTTTGACATTTCAGTGGTCCAACATTATTTATGGTACTGACAAGAGAGGATGCAGTCAGTGGTTGGAGAGCTTTAATGGGACCCACTGACCCACAGCAAGCCTTGGAAGTCAACCCAAAATCGTGAGTTTTTTTTTATGCCAAGGAAAGACTTGTGATTCAGTATTAATAATAACAGTAAGTCTGCAAAAATGTTGATAACCTTTCAGTCATTTTAAATCTGAGAACAGAATGCTACAACATAAATCCAGTGGATGAATGATCAAGTCACCAGTCCCAGAAACTTAACTCTCACCCTTATTTGGTGGGAACCAGAATGATTCTTCTTTTTTCTTCAATTTTGTTAAGTCTTCGTGCTCAGTTTGGTGTGGACACAATGAAGAATGCTGTGCATGGCAGCTCTTCTGTTGAGAAGGCAAAAGCAGTCATTGAGGGGTTCTTTCCAGAAGTAGAAATTTTACCTGATGGAACTGTTGCAGGTTTGAATCTTCAGACTGTTGAAGTTTGATGATAATCACAAGCAAATAACCCTCTTACATGAGTTTTGGTGATATGCCTTTGTAAAAATATGTGCAAAACTCCTACATTTTTAAAAATTCTGATTACCTTGTATAAGGGATCATGTGCAGTACTTCCATCATCAACATGGATGCATGGGCTGTACCTATTGGTTTTCATGCAAATGTTACCATGTGTCATTTTTAGGTGTTCTTATATGGTGTTTTAATTCTCACAAGGTTGTTTCATTGTAGGTTACAGCTCAGGTTAGACTTGAACTGACTGTTTGTCCAATAAAGCAAATCTTTGTGACAAATTCAAAGTGCAACATAGATGTACTATATATGTTGAAGATAGTGTTGACATCATGCCTGTGCTTTTATTATAAAAATAACCTTTTCCATTCTAAGGAAGATATTACTAATCACGTTGTATATTCTCTAAATAAATGTAGTTCCAAAGGAGGAATCTGAAGGTGAGAAAGATTCAAGTGCACCAAAAGAAGAGCTAGCAAAACAAGATCTCCAGCTGAGTGATGGTATGATGGTCCTTTCTAGATATGATGACCAATTTTCATAGATACCATCCATGAGGGTAGACATCTCCTTTGAAAACCCATGTACCATAACCTAACCCTTGTGTTTTAAAGGGGGTAATTTTCTAAAGAAACTGTGGTGCTGGGTTGGTGGGAGAATATCGCATGGTAATTTAGAGAAGTTAGTGGTCAAGCAATTAAAAGACAAATTAATAAAACTGGTGCCACGAGAGTGGGAGAGTATAACAGGATAATTTATTTCACAATTTCACAATTAATTTCTTTCAAAGTCTCACAATTTCTTTCAAGTTTGACTTAAATAGAACAGTACCTTAAATTTGGACAAACATTTGACTCTTGTTAAACCATCAATGGTTCCCTAAAATATCCTCAAGTATTTGGTTAAAAAAGCAGAGATTTGGTAAAACTAACAAAATACTGATTGTTTAATTTACCAGACAAGTATTTTTTGCACAAATTTTGCCTTTCCATTTCAAAAGTCTTACTTTTGTAAGCAAGGTATTTTCTGAATAGAATTTTTTTATCATTTCTAATTGATTTCAAACCAGCCACATTGAATGAGGTTTTTTTTTTCTTAACATAATATTGAATTGCACAATTTTTCATAGCTTCCAATAGTAAAGATAGTTTGTGGAGGTGTGAAAAATAGTACACTGTACTCATGATATTTTTTAAACAAAGAAATTCACATCACCTGTCAGCACATTGTCAAACAGGTGCACACAGTATACAATGCATGTGTACAAAGTTAGTCCATTATTGTTGTCTGGGAGGCTTGAACAAAAGTTTTATTCAGTTACAGAATTGGCCTGTTACAATCAAATTTATTATATCACACAATGTGTTTTCCAAACTTTCAAGGAATTTGGGTTTTTCTTTCCCACCATGAATGGTCACCAAGCTTTGCCTGCTTGCTAGTTCCCTTGTTATTGAAATAAAACAAAGCTAAGAATTATGCGGAGAAGTCATTGCAGTAGAAAGTGGTATTTATGTTGTGGGGAGGGTAGATGGCAAATGATATTGTTTCAGTCTGAAAAGTGGAGAAAATTTTAATTCCTGACATTTAATGACTGAAGGGAATGTTTTGTTGCTTTTCCTGAGTTTCATTCTATAGTGTCATTGCATTTTGAAAAACGAAAAAGTTCCTCATTTTGATAATTTTAAATACTGTAGAGACATTCAGTAAACCACTGGGAATGGAAAATGGAAGCATCCCCCCTGAAGCCATCACAGCATCATCTGAACTTGATGATAAACACAATGCTTCAAGAGCTCGCCTAAACACCAAGCCTGAAGATGAACTGATGGGAGCCTGGGTTCCATCACAAAGTGATGAAAACCAGTGGCTCCAGGTGAATCTTGGGAAAGTGACAAGGCTGGTAAAGATTGCTACACAAGGAGAGGCTGGGGAGTCTGCATCACGTCATGTGAAACAGTTTGGTTTATCTTATAGCCTCCAGGGAGAAGAATTTATACCTTATGTAGAGGATGCTACTGAAAAGGTATGGCATAACAGCTGTTTGTAGGATCACATTTTGCATCAATGTATACGGTAATGTTTGTTAACTTAACAGGAAATATGGGAAATATTTACAAAATAGGTTATACATGTTGGGGAAAAAAATAGGTATCGTTTTTCTTGATTTCTACCTACATGTATTAGATTGTGTCTCAAGTGGATGTTTATTGTTGTGATTATTAACCATTTCAGTCCTGGGATATCTTTAATCATTCTCCTTACTGTCTGCCCTTTTGTTTTTATGATGTTAGCTCAGAGAATTTGGCATTGGATAAACTAACGATCCCCTAATTGGTATTGTTCTTTATTTTCGTAATTTGTGTGCTTGATATTGTATTGATATTATAAGGAAAAATGATGTCTGAGTCACTCACGTGAGATGAAGGGTTTAGAAAATTAATAAGGCCTCACGCCAGAAATGTTCATGAGACAGACTATTCAAAATGTTAAGTAATTGAATCAGCTATGTTTAGGGACACAGGTGTGGTAAGGGATAAAGAGGTACGCCTACCAGTCGAACACCAACATTGGCCAATATAAACAGTGTTGATACTAGATAAGCTCGTTATTATTTTATTTTAGATAGTTTTGATTTGTTATTGTAATTATGAACAGTTTTGGTGTTTGCACAATAGACAAATTACAGTGACGTTAACCTCGCACATTTGGTTTTAGAGCCCCTCTCTAAACAATTTCTATCAATAAAACATTGAAAAAGTGACCGTAATACATAGATCACAATTGTGAGGTGGTACAGGCTGAACCTTGCTACTTTTGAGAAATAAGAGAAGAAGAGAATTGACAGAGCAAGACTGTGTTTCACCTTTACTACAAACGGCATTATGTCACATGACATCAAGACTGAATCATTTGTTGGTATACTACCAAAGCTAATATATTTATTTCTTGTTCCCTTGAAAATATAAAAGTCTTGAGAGATCTTGCCAAGTGTTATGATTCAGTGAGGTAATTGGCACAGCTTTATTGTGCAGAAAAATACTGATGAAGAATTGTGAGTGCTTCGGCCTGTACCCCCTTATTTGACCAACTAGTCCAATTGAGGAGTAGCACTCAAGTGATTTTTCCAAAAAATCAGATGCTCTTAGACAGTAATTCTCAAGAAGCTTGGTAATTTCAAGTAAGTATTGAAATGCAAGTACTTAAATTTCTTTCAACCACTTCCAATTCCTGCAGGTGTTTGAAGGCAATTTAGACCAAGACAGCATTGTATACAACAGTCTCACAAATCCCACAGTAACTCAGTTTGTAAGACTTAACCCAAAGACTTGGAATGAAAACATTGCATTAAGAGTTGAATTCTATGGATGCGATGCAGGTATGATAACCAGTTATCATTGTTCACTAATGTTCAAGTACAGCACTCGGAATGGATTTGTTCTTCATTTCTTTTCACACTATATATATAGCTAATAGACAGCATTTATATGCTCCCTTATCATGTACATGAAAAATACATAAATAAACGAATGTGGGGGTAGAGTCTACCTTGGCAGAAAGTGCTCAATGCTGTGGTAGCAGAGCTAAGTATACATAAGTTAAAGGATTAAGAGGACGCATCGATTCTCTGTGACTCTGAGTTTCGCGCCTAAGCGCTCGTCCGACAGAACTTTAAATCAAGGATTCTGCATAAAAGTGTACTTATGATGCATTATTTAGTGCTGAGTAGTAAGTTTCTAAAGAAACCTTTGCTGTCCCTTTCAAATTACAATCAGTGCAGCAACATCCCGCGGAAGCTCACCGCGGTTCAAACCAAGCCTAGCGCTGATTGGTAAATTTGAAATGGCTTGCGTGCCTCAAATACCTCTGGTCGCTGAGTTTGGCACCGATAATATTGAGAAAGCTGTATTCATGATTTCAGCTTCAATTTTCTCGAGGAAATGTTGAAGCTCAAATTGGCGGAAGAGATAGAGAAACATCTCACCGATCCAAACCCGTTGCCAGTTAGGAGAGATTTAAGTAGTTTGGCGATAATTCCTGTTTGAAATGGAGGAGGTCGCGGCTGGCTGCTACCAAGTTGTCAAGAGTATACAGTTCACATTTCAACTATTTTATCTGACAGGTTCGTACAGTGAACCACTAGGACTTGAAAATGGACATATTTCCAGCGAAGCCATAACCGCATCATCTGAACTTGATGACAAACATAGCGCATCGAGAGCCCGCCTTAACTCTAAGCCTGAAGGTGAATTGATGGGATCCTGGGTTCCACTGCAAAGTGATGAAAACCAGTGGCTCCAGGTGGATCTTGGAAAGATTTTAGAGGTGACGAAAGTTAGCATCCAGGGTGGTGGTGATGGTGTGAGCATGTATGTTACCAGCTTCATTTTGCTGTATAGTGAAGATGGAGAAACCTTTCAGGATTACCAGGAAAATAATGCTGAAAAGGTCAGGAACATTTGTATGTGATACATTTTGACTCAGAACTGTGTCTTGCACGTGAACACTCATCAGAATTTTGTACCCAGTACGTTTAAACAATGACCATATCAGCGGTTCCTTGGGCACTTTGAACATCAAATGGTGGAACCGTGAAAATGAACGCACAGAAAACTACCAGCTATGCTTGGCTGAGTTTCACGAAAGTTCACTTAATTACTCGCAAAATACATTTAAAGTACATTTTCTGCACCCAATTTTAACTTTTAGTTAGTTGGTTTCAGTCAGTTGATTCATTTTTCATGTTGCGTCCAAAGGTGTTTGAGGGGAATAATGATGGTGACACTGTCGTCAGTCATTGGCTGGTACAACCTGTTAAAGCACGCTACTTCAGATTGCAGCCCAAGACATGGAATGAACAGATTGCTTTAAGAGTAGAGTTGTATGGTAACACTGCACCAGGTAATTAATGGACTCTACAGTAATCAAGAGATGGTTTGCGTCTCCTTTAGATCAAAATATGATGATGCATTTAAGTTAGATCAATTCCCTTTACTGGAGCATAAAAACCACTAGAATTAGCCTTGCCCTAAGGTTTGGCATAGTGGCTCAGTTGGAAGAAGCATCCAGTTGGATGCTGTGCCAATCTGGGTGGCGTGAGTTTGACTGATTTTCTCAAGTTTCTTTTTCTCCACTCTCTTTAATTACCGTTAACGGGCAAGGACCATTTCAACGTTTAAAATTTTTTAACTATTTTGAAATTCAAAGATCATCGAATTGCCATTTTGTTAAAATCCATATCTTCTTTTTATATCTTGCCATCCTTCCTTTGTTCTTCAAGTTTGATATAAGGCCTGAGTCATTTACTTTGAATGAGAGAGTTCCCTGACAAACGCCAGTTTGTTGGAATTAAGGATCCTCCTAGTAAAGTCTTTGGGGCTTGCAGGAAACATACTCTCAGTCCTAGTTGCTACAAAAGTGGAGTAATATCTTGTGTAAATAAATAGATAAATAGATAGATGAATGAAGAAATAGATATACCGTTGTGCCTGTAGCACCCTGTGTTCCTTGTTAATGCCATTAACATTTCGATAACAAAGTAAATCATACTAACTGTTTAAAGTAACTATTTCAAAATTTTTGTTCAAAGGTCCAGTTTGATCTCTATTGTCGTAGACTAACTAATTCTTGAATGGCGCAAGCCTTAAGACTGAAGTAAATCAATATCTAAGTAGCCCAGCTTTGAAACTCTTTATGTGGCTAATTTATATCATCAGTTGATAAAACCAAAATTATCTTGTGATACCAACGCGGCGCCACAGTTTCTGTAGAAACTTAACCCGTTTATTTATCATCTAAGTAGTTAGGCTTTGCCCCTTACCAGTGGATGAAAGCTATCAGTCTTCTCGTTTGTATGGTAAAATACTCATTGCAAGATGGAGATGTCTTTGAAATTATGTTTTTGGTAGAAATCCGACGATGGTTAAACTCAGTTTCTGTCAGCCGTTTGACCATAGAGACTCAACATTGTGAATCTTAATGAACTTGGTTGTGACCATTAATTAGCGCTAACGAACCATTTAACCGATTATCCACTGATGAAGGGCTGAGCCTGAGACGACTGGGTTTTCTTTTTAAGTTTTAATCTGAAATTAAGCAATTGACATTTACTAGTTAAAAGCTAATATTTTACTAAACCATGCATACATTACTTTACTACCTTAGGAAGCATAAACTAACTCGGTAAATGACTTTATGACGAGAGGTTGGTGTACTATTTACTTCAACATCATATTGAATTATTCATAGAATAAGATATGCTGTTATCTTGAACTGCAGTACTTCCTGATGGGTGTTTTAAAAACTTAACGTTGCTGATATTTGGAAAACACACCTGCATAATCATATGGGTTGTGCAAATAACATAATTGACTCGATACATAAAGAAAAATTAACCAACATTTGTTTACTCATGGTTCTCAAAACATAAATGTTTTAAGAGATCTTAGAGAATTAACTAATAAACATTTTGATCTATGTTAAGACTAAAAGCAATCGTGTCCATTATACAGACTATATATTATATATACAGACTTTTTTTGCAGATATGGCCCAACTCTTACAACAAACCTCACAAGTACTCGTTGTATTGGGAAAATATAACGAGTACAGAAGATCATTTCATATACCTTGAATTTGGCTCAGGTTTAAATTGCCAATCTTTATCCTTTGTGAAATATTTTCCTCTACATAAATCCCCGTCCTAACTTTGTTAATAAACCTACAATGCAGAGTTTCAAAGTTCCTAAGTCAAATTGACACACGATGTAAAGAATTTCTCCACAAGTGGTAGTGGGTGCTGTTAAATACTGATGAAGTGATTTTCAAGTCATATCTAAAAATGAAATACAAATGCAGTGCTGTTAGACAGACCATAACCATAATTTGCAGGAAGGAATTATTCTAACCTTGTCTTGCTGTATAATGCTAACCCTGTGGTAAGTTTAGCATAAATGTTTTCTTTAAATATTAACGTATCTATTACTATAAAGAATTATATGGACGTTTCAACATTGCCACGCGCTAATCGTTTGTTACCTTCTTGAAAATCATTATGTTTTTTCGGAAATTTTTTTCAGTGGTGTTTGTGGCTTATCATTAAAAGTTAGCAATATACAACAGTTTGGTAAAATATGACCTGTGTTACTTTTTACTCATAATGAGAGTTTTTGAACTGTGTAAAACACATAACCAGTAACCCAGTAGCTTCACACACTAACTTCATGATCTAAACTAAATTCACTTTTGGCTCCTATGTTATTTACATTAAAGGGAGACAGTGATGTTCGCCTATCAATAGCGCATAATTTGAATTTGTCAGTGTATTTGGATGTTACTCAGTATCACATGCAAATGACTCCTTCCATCATCAGGAATGTATTGCAATATCGGCCACTAAGGCACTTTGATTTTCACTTCTACAGGTGAAATTCAAGAAACCCTGCTGTCAGAAAAAACTGATGGAAACGTAGAGGACACCCCTATAGACGAGAAGTTAATTGAACAACCTCCATCAGAAGTCCAACAACCACCTCCAGAAGAGGGCGAAGATGATGGTTCAAAAGGGGTATTAAATGAGGATAGCAATGAAAGTTCTACTCAAGTGAAAGAAGACCTTCAACAAGAGGCAACTGTAGACAACCCCGAGGGTGAAAGTAAGCCTGAAATCGTAGATGAGGAAACAGTGGCTAAGAAAGAGGAAGATGAACCTAGCCAGAAAGGTGAAGTAGAAGTTCCGGAAGGACAGGCCGAGAAACAAGAAGAAGGTAATGGAGGTGGTGAAGGGGGTGCTGAAGGACTACCTGAGGATGGACAGGTTTCTGAAGATGTCAAAGAGAGTACTGACGGAGAGAAAAAACCTGAAGAGGCTGTGAAGTCTGAAGAGGCTAAAGGTGATGAGGATAGCAATTCAGCTGCCGAGGAAGCAACGGCTGCAGATGAAGGTACGGCTCCAGTTGACGAAAGTGTAGCAGAGGAGGTTAAGAATGAGGAAGGAAAACCAAATGACGAAGCAACTTCTTGAACATATCGCCTTCATTGCTCTTTTATCGGTGTGTTATTTAGATTACTTTAATTTGGTATGTTTTTGTAGAATATTTTATTGTCGTGTATATACCAACTTAAAGGCTTGTGTACAGAAATCATGAATAAAAACTTGTACGTAGTTTGCATAGATATTGGGATAAATTAACAAGCGAGGAAGGTTCGTAGCAGCAACTGCGGCAGTCAAGAATGCACTAAAAATCAATTTCAGTGCTAAAATTACAGCTCTGCATGCCCAAGTGTTCCTGCCACCCTAAGAGCATGCAGCCTGCAAGTCTTTGGTCCACTATGGGTACGGACAGAATGCAAAGCTCCATTTTGGTTATTTGCAAACATTTAGTCTAAGGTCCACCTTTAGGGAATGCAACGATCTTACAGGCTAAAAGGGTCCAATCACTTGAAATGGTCTCACTTGATACCATGGTGATAGCAGGGAAAATAGTATCACTACATAGAATGGTCCAACTAATTAAAACGGTCCAATCATTTAAAATGAGATAAAATAGTTGAACCTCTTAAAACGGTCTCATAAATGGTCCAACTTCTTAAAATGGTCTAGATAGAGACAAGTGGACATATGCCCACGTTGCTCTCCGAAAACACTCTGGCTCTGCAGGCTGGACCCTGACAGTTTTAAAATCTATGCACTCTATTTCTTGAAGTGAAACCATAGTATTGCACTGCGCATTTTGTACTGTGCATAAATATGACGTAATCAGGCAAGTAAGTGCGCATTCCGAGAACAAGGTATTGTTTTTCAATACATGGACTAGGAAAGGGGTACGATGGTTTTTAGCTCATTAACAAGCACGGTGACCTATGTTGTAGCAATGACTCCCTTTAAATTAGATGAATTTTAAAAAATCCACTAAAGGGAAAAAAAGATATGGCTAAATGCGTGCACAAAGCCCCTTGCACGATGATGCAAATTGACCTTGAAAGCAACGACTCGAGGAACGATTTCAGTCGATTTCGTTAAAAATTGCGTATTTTTTCATAAATTGTGTCTCAAATTGTACCATTCTCTCGCGACTTTCTACCTATCAAGATTTTTGTAAAATGTTACTTCAAGGAGGCTTCATAGGGTTTTTGCTTAATGTTGGCGCGCGCTAGCGTAATGTTTCTCGAAAAACTTTTTATATTTTCGCTTTTCTAGGTCACTGAAAGCCATCAAGAGGCGATGAGCAAGGTTCGGACTATCGTTTGGCGTAGTAAATATTATCAAAATGATTTTCGTTCTTAAAGCTAAGGCTACACGCAGGGAGGTGCTCGCCAGTGATAATTTGGCTTTCCCTTTGATTTTCTTCAATTTGCTTCTGTGAATTCTCTCAAAATTTTCACAATTTGTCCTGCCGATCATTTAAAAGCCGGAAAAATAGGGGTTACCAAGGCAGTTTCTTCGCTATATGCAATTTTGTGTTTTCTCAAATTTGGTCTTATGAAATTTATTTTATCATCAGGCACTAAGAAGGGCACAAATATGTTTGAGGGTCCACCAAATAATAGGAAATTCCACTGAAAGAATCGCGATAAATCTTGCCCGAAAGATCCCTATTTTATCACATAAATATTGTATCGAGTTAAATTTTTTTATAACACCTTTTCAGATAACAATCGTGCGATCGTATCGAGCCGCCATGTTTGTTTTGCATGTCGACAGGCAAAAAGCTCGCGCTTTGTTCGGACCCAAATCACGCGCGATCTAAAAACCCTATGGAGCCTCTTTAAACACCCTTGCTTCTCGCCACCTCAAAATGTACCGCGAACAGATCAAATGACGCGCGTGATTTATAATGGTATAGGACCAAGTGGAGTCCAATTAATAATGGTAATTGAACTGAATGGAGTGCAATTTGGGCTGAAATCATACGCGTGATTTCAGCCCAAAATTGCACGACACGAGGTTCAATTACCTCTCTATTACATCCATTTTGAAATCGCCCAAATACAGGCTTGGTCAGTTGAATTATTTTATTGATGCGGTACCAAGCCGGTTTGAAATTAAATTCATCCATGTTATGGAGGGAAAAAAATAAGAGTTTTGGAAACAAAAGTTGCAAAATTTGCCACATGATACTCTTTGTTTTTCATTTGCCTGAAATTTGATAGGTTACTTTAAACAAGCCTTGAAATCTGATTTTTTTTTGTTTTTAGTGTAGCCTTCTCATTGGCTGGGAAAAAGATGCGATTTAAAGCAACTAATGGTGCGATTCGTGAATAAATTGCACCAATTAGAGCCAATCAGATTACAGGGACCACCAGTGATTTCAAAGTGGGTGTAATAAGGTGTGTCATACAGATTGAGTGAAGCGGGAGTCCGATTTGTTAAGCACGAGTATGATTACAGACAGAATTGGACGACACTAAGTCCTGTTACTAATTAATCAAAACTATGACAACATTTGAGAAAGAAATTAGACATCGGTTATGCGTTTTTTCTTGAAAAAAAAAACAATAGTTAGCTCGGCGAAATGCGAGACAACAGCGCGCGCCCATGACGCGTTCTGTCCACTTATACAGGCAAGACGTTAGCTGTCCTTTAATTGTCCTATTACACTGTCCAATAACATGCACGACGCGTAGACTGTCCTATAAGTGCTCAAATCGGGGTTGTGACAACAAATCACGTTTGAGAATTTTGTTACAATGTTGATTAGTGCCAGAAGAGGTATAAGTGGGGTAGGTTTGGCGGATCATCTCTCTTACATAAGCACATAGTAGACAATTTCTTGAGTCCACCTTGATTCCGCAGAATCAGGTTTGATTCCTTTTTCAAACTTCAAGAGCATGTCTGGATCTCTCAAAAGGTCGAGAGTGATACCTGTCTTCTTGAGGGCTGCATCTCGAGCCAGGCCAGGTGATGTGAAATATCACGCAGGATCAAGCTTGTATTTTTTCATGCAAACCTTTCTGAAGTTTTGAAAAACATCTGCGAGGATAAGAACGTGTCTTGAGATAAAGATTGTGATAATCTGCCACTATTTTGCACCCAAACTTTTGCCAAAAAGTGAGCGTGTTCATATTCAGCATCTTTGATGTGTTAATTACAAAGCCTTGAAAATAACTCTTCCTTTGGTGGCAACTTCGTGTCTTTCATCTTCTCAATTGAATCAAAGCAATCATATGGGAAAACCCCCATCGTCATCATATCTGTGTAGTTAATATATCTCTTGGGGCATCGAAAATCATTTTTGTGGAAATTTTGAAGCAAGCTTGGCGAGAGACGACTGCATGAATCTGAAGTCAAACTTCACATCAATCGACTTCACTTTCCCATCTTTTCCAATCTTACTCAATCTTTCCCAAATTTTTTTTCTTGAAAGGAATTTATTTCTCCTCGGTTTTTGGGATGCACAATATGTCTTCTTGTTGCTTTTTTTTTTAACTCTTTTATTTCCTTTCGTTCAAGATCGATTTCGAATTGCTTTTTCATGGGTTTTTCAAGGATCTTGAGGTAAACCCCGATTGCATTCTTGATCTCGTTAATACACCCTTCGAAAAGATCATCAAGCCTTCCTTCAAAGTCTTTCCTATATATCATGAGACCATAAAATTTCTCAAGATATTCACACATTGTGATCAGTTCTTGATTCTCAAGATCCCACATGATGTGATTCACAACTGATCCCCTGATATTGAAAAAACTCTCCCCTTTTGTTTTCTTTACCTTTTCAACCCAATCTGGGTTGTTTCATTTTTTCCATTCGAACATTTTTCATCTCTCTCTTGAGTTTGATAAACAATTCGGGACCAGCTTCTTTTTTTTACATTCCTCCTTCCATTAATGAGAGCCAAAAACTCTTCTTATGCTTGATCTCTCGTGAATTGTAAAGACTCCATCAGCGACTCTCGCTTCATGATTTTCGATGTACTAATTCAACATTGGAGTTTCAATATCATTCTGTTTGCAAAAATGAGCCAGTAATCTTGGATGTACATTTTCCGTGTCAATGTCGATCGTTGTTGTTGTTGTTGTTGTTTTTTTTTTTTGATATTGTGTCTCACCTTTTTTGATGACTCCTTGAAGTGATGGGCAATCAGCAAAATATCGTCTTTTTCCTCCTTTTTGGGTGAAAGTGACAATGTGTTCACCCTTTTCGTTGAGTCTTCCAAGATAAAGCTCAATCTTGTTATTTCCCCTTCCTATTCCTCACTTTCACCAAGCAAAGCTTTTGAAATATCAACAATGTATTGGAGCTTTTGTATGTTAACTTTCTCTTTCAATCTGATTCTTCGGAGAGGTTGTGAAAGATAATAGGAATCGTCTTTGGCTTCTTGAATTTCAGATTGCAGCACCTCTGAACCTTCCCGAGAAATGGCAGTGGTCTCTGATTATTGGATTTTCATCGTCTTCATCAAAGAATTCTTTCTCACAAGTGACATGTTTTGGCGTTCTCGAAATTCGTGGTATCTTCACCTGTCGTGACAATCCTGATGGATATGGTAGATATTTCTTACACCTTTCCCAAGATGAATGACGAATTATTTTGCCAGATCTTAACCTTCAGTCCTTTTGTGTCTCACGATTGGCTTCATATCAAACTTCTTTTTCGCTCTCTCGCTTGCAAAGAAGAGGCGATGTCCTGAAGGCCCGTGTTTCTCATATTCATTTGTAAAACTCTTTTCTGGTTTTTTTTCTCAAGTTTCAATCCCCTCTGTGGAAAATTCGAAATCAGCATAACAGACAAATAGAACTGGCATCTTGTGGTTCATGTTTTTTAATTTCACGTTTTCATCATCAGGCTTGAGGACCGTGACTGGCTCATGTCCTTGGCAGATTTCGATGTGTTCGGACCTTGCCTCAACTCTTCCGAAGGAATTCAGACATCTCATGCAGAAGCGAACTCGACCATTTTGACCTGAAATTTGAGATGAAAGAAGTTTGGTCATGTGTTTGATAAGACATTAATGCTTCTTCCCGTCATTGTTGGAGGTGACGAGGAGGTTCACAGTGTTCTCATGTTCATCGGAATTTAATCTCCGTGGGAAAATCACACCATCAGAATAACCAAGGATATTGGAAATTCAATCCCAGAGAAATCCAACTGATCCACCTCATCTTTCAAGTCAGATTCTCAGAGGGTTTGACTGAAAGGGGTTGAGGTGTCTGAGAATGCACCATCGAAAGTA